TCTCCTATATTCAATCCTATATTATTCTATATGAGGGAGGAATTCTTATCTTTTTCTAAAAAGTATCAAGTAACAATTTTCTTTTTATTTTCAAATTGTTTTTGTTTAAAATCTACACCGAATATTCGTGGATGATTTTTCGAAACTTGCGATTGTATTTATGGTTCTGAATTTTTTTAATATTTTATTTTTTTAATTAATATACTGATATTTTTTAATTTGAAAGAAGTATATGTTTCTCACAAAATATTTTTTATTTAATATATATTCTAACAGAAACATGTCTTGCAAATTTAATACTTTAAAAATAACTTTGTGTAAAATATTTTTAATTGAAATAATGGCTATCGATCAAGTCGATTACAATTAGAATTTTTATAATAAAATATTAAAATATGCGCGCGCGAGTGACAAATATATTGGAGAAATATATATATATGAGAGCATTGAAAGAATATGAAAAATAATACAAAAAAATAATAAATAAACTCTTGAAATATTATTAATATTATACTTACATTTATAATAAATATAGCTAATATTTCTACAAATACGTATTTAATGTGCTAATTAGAACATATGATGCAAAAGAAAAGACATGTTTTTTGAAATATTGCGAAAAGTTATTACAATTGCCAACTTTGGATTACACAAAACATCGATTCTAATTCTGAATATGCTAAAACTAAATAAATTAAGGTCTTTGGAAGATTATATAAATGGAAATTCATGCTATTCAAGAGACGATTTGTTTCTGTCGGTGCAAGTCATTAATCTCTTTTTCATTCACAATGGTTCTCTAATGTCAATTTTACTCGTATGTACTTGTATATATGTATAATAAATTATTTTTATTTTAAAAGAATATCGCGTGAAAAAATCATTAAAATAATTTTACAGTGCCAAAATAATACAATTTATAATGAAGAAATAAAATTATTATATTTTTCGTTTTATAATTTATTTTTACGCGTAAAACTGAATGGGTTAATAGATCGTTCGCATGAAGCAAGCGTGTAAACTGTTACGTTTTTTATCAGCTTTACGCCGTCTCTACAATCATATCTTGTGGTTTGCATGAATTTTTGCGGTTTTATCTTCGTTTACGACAATTCCTAGTAACATTATAAAATCGTTTGTGCATGTACGAAATATATAGGATACTTTGTTTTAATATTCATCCCAGTGCATATGCACATAAAAAAATGAAATTAAAATATTACATAGCAAACTAAATGCATGATTTTTATTGTTTATGCATTTCCAAACTAAACCTAATTAATTGTAAATTAAATTTAAAAGAATTACAAAAAATTAATTTCTTTAAATTAATACATATATGAATTACAAATAAATTCAATTTTATTCAAAGGTGGCATTGTTTTATTTTTTTAAAGACCAAAAATTTTTTATTTAACTCTTCAAAACATATTTTATTCAAAAAGACATATTATTTATTTACTCTTTAAAAACAATTTATTACTCATAGAAAAAATACTGATTATGAGATAGTATAAAAATGTTTTTATTTATTTATCAATCTCTTTAAAAATGCAATAACATTTTTATATCAAAATGTACTAAACATACTAAATGTTTCATTTTACTTTGACAAGAAGATTACGCAAGTAAACTCATAAAAATAACAGTACAGCACGTAACTTCCTCATGCCTGCGTCATCAGTGATTTTCTATGATATTTCTATTTTTATGAACTTATTCTTTATATATCTTTACATATCTTCTTCCAATTGTACTAAATACATTTCATTATAGACTCAAAAAGTTTGAGATATCTTTGAAAAGAAATTTTTCTTAAAATGACATAATTCTCTTCCTGATACGATTCTGTATTTTTCTAAAAAAAATGGAGTTCTTTTTTATCAAGTCATGTTGCTTTAACAAGAAAAAGAACGTTATTTTAAAGAACATTATTTTATGAGAAAAGTTATTCTGAAAATATTTTGTATATTTATTTGTCTTTGATACATTTTTTTCGATTTTATATCAAACTTTGTTATTGTTACTCGAACAATAGGTAATATAAAGCTCAGATAAAATCTTCAGCAACAAAAATAAGAAATTTGATGTAAAATACAACATGAGTTACCATCAAATGTGTCAAATAAAAAAAGAAGGATGCTGATATAGATTCTGATATACTAAAAAATTTTCAAGTACATCTCATCTAAAATGACAATTTTTTCCGTAATTATGAAACATTTCTTTAAAAGTTATTAGCCATTTTTAAAAGAACGAGTGCAGCAATCATTAAACATTAAAAATATTAGTTTAAAAACAAAAATATAGATATTTATATTTAGTTTTTTCACATTTCTTTAGTTTTTTCAGTTTTTATATAATACAATATATTATTATAAATTATATAATAAATTTTTTTAGTAAGTGTATTTTATATAAGAGAGAGAACAATTTGTTGATATTATTATTAACACAAATATTCAATTTCACTTTACAAATAAATTATAATATTTGTTTATTAGATAAAAAAGATGCTAAACTTTTATTTTATTCAAAGAAATAATTATATATAAAAAAAGAGAGAGAGAGAAAGAGAGAATATTTATTCTATGTATCTACAAAATACAATATCTACAAAAAGAGGAAAATGCGAGAGGGAGCTTTATTTGTTCTCAACATAAAGGACAATATTTTATGAAATAATAAATTTACAATATCTTATTATGAAAGCAAGTGTTATAAACAGACAAAGCAGATTGCGCCATAGGCACATTATTCCTTCTGTACACCGTGTAGGTAGGTTTGATCTCAGTCAGGCGTTGTCAATAATGAAGATACGACTCAAACAAAAGATTGATCAATTTTATTCACACAGCTTTACATGACTAGTTCTTGTGGCAAGTTTGTTAATACAGCACTTTGTGCGAATAGACTGCGATCATTTTATCTTATATATTGTTTTATAAAAACTATTTATTCATGATTGATGATTTATTATAAAAAGATATCGTGAAATTGAAAAGACATTTTAATGAAAGAAAAAAAATATTCTAATTTTATTCAAAAAAACGAGCGGATATTTTAATGTTCGATTGTTCTATTTTTAATTCTAGATATATATGCAAATTTATATCTGAAGAAAAAGAACTTTGTCCTTGCACACTGCTAAAATGTCATTATGATTACATATTTTATTGAAAATAATTAAACTTTTTTTTATCACAATCAATTTTTCGAAAAAATCACTATTATAATTAATATTACAAAAAACTTACTTATTAACAGAATAGAAAAATTTTATTTGAATAAATTTATTCAAAATAATATGTCAATTTATTATGAAAATTTATAATGAATACGTAAATATGAGGGTAGGTGAAATGTTACCATTATTATTTTTCTAGCGCAATCTATAGGGGGATCCAGACATTATAATAAATATAGAAGCAGACGTTATTCTATGATATTAATCTTTGAAATTATATATAATAGGTGTCCAAAATCTGTGATATTAAGAAATAAAGATTAAAATCGAGAATATAATTTCGTTAATATAATTTCATTAAATATAAGTTCGATGTCGTAAATATATAGACATGAAAAGTGAAGGAAATAATACCTTAAAGTCTTTTTTTGTCATCTATATAGAGTTGATTAAATTTATTAAAACAATATTTGCTGTGTTAGCAAATTTTGTTTCTTTACTGTGAATATATGTATTAGCTAAATTAATGTATAATATACGTTCTCAATACATATTTTCGCGTGATTTTCAATTTTAAGATTATTTTAATTTTTTTAAAATGATTTTTCACTCTTTCGTGCATTCATTAAGTACGCTTGAGTCATAAAGATGCATTCGTATCATATATCATTTTTTTTGTTTTGTATATACGGTGTGAGTAATATTATTATAATTAATACGATTACTCAGTTAGTGATGAATAATCGCGTAGTTTGGGAGCAATGATCCTCTGATTCACCTGATCGTTATCATTCGTACGTGATATTTTTCATAAATGAAAATGACAGGATCATTATTATACAAAAAATTATATATCGTTGTTTGACAGAGAATAAAGCGAGACAATACAAGATGATATCTTCTGATTAACGTGGACACAGTTAAAGTGAGCATACAATGCTTCTTTCATTGTCTGATGTGTAGCTTCGTGTAACAATGTGAATGTTGTGGTTCAATAGTGACATTGATTGGGTCTTCTTTCGCTTTTCTTATAATTGATGATTCGTCTACACTAAGAAAAAAATAATGTTGAACCAACAACATCAGTGTAATTGGAATTTATTTTATTAATTCAATAACATTTGTAATCAAATTAATAAACCATGTATTGATTTGATTAATAATGTTATTGAATTAATAAAATAAATTCCAATTATATTGATGTTGTTAATTCAACATTATTTTTCTTTCAGTATACGATGATTTTATATGTCGCGACCATCTGACTGTTTTTGTCATTATATTTAAGCTCATGTGAGGTATTTTTTATTCTTTGATTTTTTCTTATTTATTTTATGTTATTTTTTTCAATCTTTTTTTTATTTTGTCAAATTTTCCTTTAGATTACTCTTTCTCATGATTATATGCCATTTGCTTTTATTGACTATGCGTAGTCTTATTATTTCTCACAATCGATCAAACTTTTATACACTTTTTACTAAGTTTTATTTTTTTTATGAAAAAATTATATAATCTACGAATACTAATAATAAAATACATATAATAAAATTAATAAAATTAATTGTTCAATTTATATATTACAATTTTAGATTTACTTCTGTTAGTTTTATAAATTTGCTTTTTTTATTTAAAAAATAAATATAGTTATAACAATATTTTGTTAATAATATTTATTAATTCTTACATTTTTTAAAATATGTGCATAATTACATATAATGCTTTGCATAGTGTGAAGAAATTTTACTCATATGTTCACAGTGATATGTATTTGTAATAATATATATAATAGTAAAATATAGAGTAAGTAGTCATATTAATTGACAAATAATTTATGCGCCAAATAAGTGCTGAATGCTTTGGGTACAATTTTTCAAATCGTGGTAAATTCCTTTCAAATAGTCTGGAGTGAATTGATGAGATAGGTCTTCATAACATAATTTCACATTTGGGACATAAGGGATTAATCTTTGGATACCAGGAACAACCTTAAGAACCTCGGCTGCCGCAATAACAACTAAATCCTTCAGACTTACCTTAGCAATGTTTGTCTGGAAATGAATTAAATATATTAAATAGATTTTATCAATTACAGAAAATCTTCTTGAAATATTAAAATATGTTTAAATATTTGTGATCATATAGTTAAATAATTAGAAATTTATTTTATTCATTATGAAATTATTTATTTATATTATTACCAAAAACTTTAAAAATAAAAAATTAATGTTAAAATACATACCTTTATTGCACCGTAACACGAAGTTAGATTGAAAGGGGTCTTTCTGCATGTCGTTGATATTTCATGTACATATTCCGTAATATTTTTCTTCAAATCATTTGCCATATTCGTCAATTTTTGTATACCTGATTCAATAACAGACGTTTCATTTGAGTTTTTTAAACAAGAATCAAAAATCGACTTCACTTCTTGAACAACTTTCTGTGCGTCATGAGTAACTACACTGCATGAAGCTTCGACACTCTGGAGACTGTGGAGGTACCCTAGTAGAGAATTCTCCAAGCTAGCCTGTCAATAAATATTTTTAAACAAATTACATTTTATATTGTTTAAAATTTCATTGTATTAAAAAGAAACCTTTCCAAAAAATCGAATTCTTTTTAGACTTAATAAAATGAGAAAGAAAAAGAAAAACTAAAAAATAGCATTATGTTCCGAAATAAATAAAATTTGCAAATATGCAAGACAAATGTTTAGAATTTTATGTAAGTATCAGTAATTAACAATAAATTTGATAATTCTTTTGAGAAAGATGCAAATTTATTAACTTTATTATTATTATTAGATTATGTTGATGTGATGTTATGAATTTACGAAATTTGTGGAGAATATTCTTTAATTTACTATGATATTATGCAATATCAATATCATTACTAAGCTTTATCGTATTATTTCTATCTTTGTTAGTTCTACTACAAACAATTTAAATACAAAAGATTGCGTAGATTAAGTATGTATTCGAGATTGGATTATTTTATGACTGTGAAAGAATAATTAATAATTGTCAAGCAATAATTAATATGAAGAAACATTGGTTTTTTTTAGCACATCAGTTTTTCTAAATTATTCGCAGAGTTTTCATAATTTTTTTAAACATTGTATCGGATTATATTTCAGTAATACAACTTAACGATACAATTTAATGACAATTACAATTCTAATATATTTGCGTTTTACGTTTTGATAGTTAAATTTGTTAAAATATATTCAAATATGTTAAAATTTATATTTACCTTTATATGTTCAAGACTCTGAGAAGTAACAGATTCTTTTTGTATATACGCAGGCTTATATACATACTGACCGTCTACTTTTTTAAAAGAGATCTGAAATTAAATGATTCAATATATTAATGCAAAATACATGACAATTACACACACACACACACACACACACACACACACACACACACACACACACACACACACACACACACACACACACATATATATATATATAACTTCATAAGAAAACTTATATTATTTTTAATATATATAAATTATAAGATAACAATCAAAAATTATTATCAAGATATTTCTATCTATAATTTTGATTAAAAATTGGATATGTTCAATCCTATTTTATTTGCTTTCTAATTTTTATAATATAAACTATTATAGATTTAAGAAACATGATACTTACGGCAATAGTTACCATAAGGCAACATATGGCGATAATTTTAAACATTTTTGCTGTAATTCTGATGTATTACACTTCACAATTTTTCTGTGGTAGTACCTTCTCAAATCAAAAAACTCACGACTTTATATATATATAAGATATCCACCTCCAACTTCTAAGCTATCATTCAGATGCAAATCAACTTGTCAAACTTCATACACTCATATCATTATACAGTTGTCCTAATTAGCTTAAATAAATAATGATTGTAACATACAAAATGTATTATTCAGGAAGAGCATTTTACTTTTATGATATATTATAAGTTTGTCTTTTCATCATTTTATTTTACTTATGATAACTTTTTATGTTTCACGTATAACATTTAAGACACAAAAGAAAATGTTATGTGCTCAATAATTTTATCGAATAAATAATATTTTAAATATTATTATGTTATAAAAAAAGAAAAAATATTTTGCTAATATCGTGCAGACTAATATCACAATTTTGGCGTAAGTCAGATAATACTTTGTTACATACAATTATGCTTTGTTTTTACATTTGTCGACAGCTTTTATGTAGCATGGCATGTATTAATCTCATCAGGTAAATGCGAACAATATCATCTGATAGTACAATCTTAGTTTTTCTTTCCGACCTTATGTTTTATTTTTATTTTTATTTTTATTTTGATATCTTTCAAAATCTTAATATAAAAAAATACTTTTATTTTTAAATAATTTTTAATTAACATATTGTAGTAATAAGATAATATTATTTTTATCGTTTAATGTTTATAACTTCCAAAATGAAGGGAGAAATTAATATATTAAAAAAATTTATTAATTTTAGGATTAAACATATTTTTTTAGAACATTTTCGCACATACATAAATATTGATAAAAAATTAAAACTATCTCTCTGTCTATGTGCGTAAAACTTAAATTAATATAAATCGAAACTTTTCTATGAAATTCTGTTTCCGCTAATTAAAATTCATTCAAGAATCATTAATTTCTTTTCTGTGATATATTTTTTGCATATTTAAATAACTTTTAACTACACTTCCGTATATTTTTCTTCCGATTTTGATAAAATTTTACAGCTATAATGCATTAATCTATAGTTGAAGTCACAAGTGTGAATGTACGGAAATATCTACGGAAGTTTCCGCAATATTTAAATTTTAATTATATAGCTAAACAATAAGAAAATAAGCTCTTTTGATTTCTTGTTTTCTTTTTTTTATAATAATATTTTAATATGTTTATGTTTATATTATATATATATATATATATATATATATATATATATATTATATGTGTGTGTGTGTGTGTCTTGGAACACATTAATTAGATCAAACATTTTAATAAAATGTTATTGAGTTTTAATTTTTTTCAAACGGAAATCTGAAATATTGTTTATTTAGCCATATAACTAAAATTTGAATATCTCAAAAACTAAACGTTTCCATTCATACTTATGGCGTTCGATTACATTTAATAAGTGTTATATGCTTGTTAAATTTTTTCAAAATTGAAGGAGAATAGAAAGATGTAAGTTTTATCATTTCACTGTATTTTCTTTAATAAATAATAAAAATATTCTTTTTATAAATAATAAATATTCTATTGTATTTCTTTTCTTGATTGGAATTGGAAAGAGGCTTGTGCTTTGTGAAGGTTGAAAATCATAACAGGATGTATGCATGTTTTCACCTAATTTTATGTGTATGTATTTAAGTGTATATATATTTATGTGTATATATTTAAGTGTATTTATATGTAATTATTAAATTTTACTTTTCTTATAGTCTACACTTGAAGGTTTTTTTTATTATTTGATAGTTAGTGGTTGAGAATGGTCTAAATAAGAAACCAAAACATTCAACTTTAAATAATTAATAAATTACATGTAAAGAAAAATAATTTCTATTTCCTACGCTTGGCTCTCAATTAGTCTATTTTTTTATTTGAAAATGTTCTATATCAGAGTCTTTAACTTTGTTTAAAATAATAAATATTTTTATTATACTATAAAATATTTATTATTCTATAAAAATATCATTAATGATATTAATAAAGTGAATTCTAATGTACACATGGCAGTTTTTGCTTTATCATTATTCAATTGTATAATCATATTTTTATTATAATTTATATGACTTTGTAATTTATATATATGACCATTTTAAATGACATTATAAAACTGTCTTATTATAAAAATGTATATGGAATGTATACAGAGCTTTCTTAACTTTTGTAGTGATAAAACTATATATAAATCGCTTATAATATATCGATCAAATGTTTCAAGACGGTGTATAATATTTTTTTCTAGAAATGTTTTTTTTATATTTTAGTATAGATTATTTTTTTTGTAGATTTTTTTTATATTTGAATAATACATTTACCAACATATTTTGTAAGATTAACAATTTGCAAGTTAAAAGTATGTTTTTATGTTTTAATAGAAATTTTTTATTATGTTTAAATATGTATGCCAACTTATTAGAAAAAGAAATATTTTTTTCCTAATAAATCAATATGAATATTATGTTCTTTATGTATGATGTTAGAGTTTTTGTCACACTTAATGTCTCATTCTTTTATTAGCTCTTATTTCAGCATTTTACCTTTCTCTTACATTTTCATTTTATCATTTTTTCTCTCGTCTCTCTGGAGCATTGTTCCCATTTATTAATTTCATACACTTAAATGGTATTAAAAGAAAAAAGAGAGAGAGAAAGGAAAAATGAAGTATTTAAATATCAAAATGTAGACATTACATGAACAAACTCTGTATTTTTTTCAATATTCAATGATATTGAATAGATAATATGAAAATTAGGAATATGCATTAAGTAAAGTTTATTTTCATTCTGTAATTAAATATGTACAAATGACAAATAATCATAATTACACAGTAATTACATGGAATAGCAATAATGATGTTCTTGAAATATTGATACAATGTCATCATGTGTAAAGTCCATTTTTTACAAATATATAGAAAGTGCCTTGAAAATTTAGCTTTTCTTTAGCTTTTTTTAGAGTATAAATCAATTTAAGGTAGACATTATATAGTCGAGAGCGTTTAAGCGCTTTAGATTAACTTCCGAACATTCTTGTTATATTATTGTCCTTACTTTGGCAGAATTCTCCATTACAAATTTTATGGCTTTTTTACTATATCGAAAATTATTGCGATTATATTTTTAAGGCTAACAAAATGTTTGAAAATAGAATATTGTAAAATACTTTGATTGAATAAAGTATAATAAAATAAAGTAAAATATTTTGAGTAAAATACTTTGAATAAAATATTAAACTGAATTTTATTTAAACAACGATATAATTTAAGCAAGATTTACACTTTAAACTGAATTCTTTCGAAAATGAAACTATAACTTTCGGGAGCAATAAATTGAAAAATTTGATGAAAACAAAAACGGAGCTTTTATGTGTTTAAGATAAAATATATTTTTTTCTAATTCATCATTCAAATGAAAAAGGAATTTTGTTTCAAATCTGTAGAAAGATTAGAGAAAATATCTAAAAATATCCAAAAATATCTATACATCGTAAATATTTACCAATTTTAAAGAATTGATATTTAATGGATTTTTTAATTTTAAAAAGGAAATTGTGATGAGAGGAAATATATTTGAGGAAACGTCTGGAAGAGAAATTGGGTCATACATTACAAGACGTTAGAAGACATTACAAGAAAGAAATATGAATCTTTATAGTTACTATAATTGATATTAAAAATAAATCCTTATAGTTATATTATAATTCTCTTGTATCTAAATTTAATGCTTATTATTATTGTATTTTGTCCGAAGAACACATAAATTTTAATTATCCTCAACTTAATTTCGATTATATCGAAAATTTTTATTTTCTTTCTTTTCATGACTGCGTTTAATTCATACATTAATCGAGAGATTACTATTTACTAAATATCAAATGACAAATGATTTATTTATTAAAATAATAGGCTTTCAGTTAAAACTTATCGCGCTTTCTTTTGATATCAATTAAATTGTGATATACGTATCCAATTAGTTAGCCGGAGTGGCGCTGGAATCGAAAGTGAGACATAACATCAAGATCAGTATACCACCGATGAAAATGCGAGCACGCTGATTGCCGTTAGAACCAGCCTCGTGAGACGCACACGCTTGTGTGGTACATGTATGTAAGCTTATGCACGCGTTCGCGCTCATATACGTATACGAGTTCACCCCTATAAAATATTCCCATAGGAGAGGCCCACAGGGTGTCGTGGGAACGGTCTCGCTCGATATAAAGTGCCGTGTACATTTTTATGGGGCGCGTAGACGTTCAAGTAGCACGGGGATTCCTTTGTAACGAATCGACGACGAGTCTTCTCGCCTGGGAGTCGCGACATCGAGTCAATCCAAATGAGAATATATTTTTCTTCCCTCCTCCGAAAGAGTATCATGGGAGATGCAACTCTAATTTTCTGCGGAACGTCTCGCGCAGCCTATCCTCAGCGAAATTGTTATTTTTATTTACGAGAAAACATTTTTGAACAATTGAATATAATAAACATATTATAAATACACAAAACAAACTTTTACTAAAATTATAATATATGAGTCTCACACACACACACAACATTTATAACAGTTAATTTTATGTTTTTTCTCTCTTTTCTAATATCATTATTTAATTCATATCACTTTTTTTATTAAAGTTAATGCTTTTTGATGAAAATGCTGTTTGATATTTGCTTAAAAATAAAATAATGTAATCATATGTAAGTTTTATTAAAGAAATTTTAACAAATTTTAAAGAAGTTTTATTACGTAAATTTTTGTAATATATTTAATATGTATATGTATATATTTACATGTATATATTTATATAACTTCTTCAGATTAAATTCCTTAGATTAGATTCTTAGAAATTAGCACATTTATTATTTTTCGTTAACTTTTATTTATTTTTTTGTAAATTAAACACACATGGATTAAACAATTTTTTTTCAAATTATTTTTATTTTAATAAAACATTTATTATAATTATATATTTATAATAAACAATCATATTACAGATAAGCTTAAAACTATATTATTTTACTATAGAATGCCAAAAATTA